TGCATTTGAGATATCAAAAAAGTACTCCAGAGTGTTGTTCAGCATGGGGGTGAGTAGAAAATGAAGGCTAATCATGTTTTCCTTTAATTAAATCTAACTTTAGCGACCTGCCCAGCTCCATCGTTTTACCAACAGATGCTGCTCAGGTTTAGAACCTGTTCATTCCAGAGGCTTTTAGAGGAGATTCCACCTCCAAATGCTGAACCGATTCAATCCAGAGAAGCTCCAGTTACCAGGTCCACATGGAAACCAGTTTAAAGGGGAGCCACAGCAGAGCTCCTCACCAGTAGAACCAGTAGAGCAACAGTTACCATTTCTGATCCGACAAATAATAAAATCAGCCTCAGATTCTCTGATCAGCAGATTAGGACTAAAGCAGTAACTGGTTCCAGGAGGGTTTTACTGGGCAGTGGAGCTGTTACTGGGAACCAGCCAGCTCAATATTTCCATCTCAATAAAAGGAAATCTGCTGCTGATGATTGTAGGACCTCCTCTATCAACATCAGAACCATCTGATGTCATAAAAACCGAGAGCAGAAGGAGGTTCTGAGCCCGGTCCGCTCTCAGTCTGGATGACCTTCAGCAGACCGTCCTCAGAGGTTCTGATGGTTCTGCCGGCGGACCAAAGCTTCATAGTGGACCATTTGTTCTGACATACGGAGGTTCTTACCCCTGATTGTTGGTTGAAGGAGACGTAAACTCCACCAGCGCCCCCTGCTGGCAGAGCGTTTAGGTTTCCAGGCGGACCGTTGAACTGGTCCTGCTGCACAAAAACAAAGAACCATGAGATCTGATGGTCCAACCGTCTGATGCTTAAACCGGACCTGTGGCTACGCTCACCTTGTAGAACTGGGAGTTTGGACCTCCTGATGGCGGGTACTGTGGGAGGGGCATCTTATGGCTCTGATAGGAGGGGGAGGAGCCAGGGCACTGGGGGGCGGGGCCTGGACCACCAGAACCTGCAGGAGAAAGATTTGCTTCATGTTCTGATGTGAACCTCTGCCATCAGTGAGAACGGTTCTGACCTCTATTGGTACCTGGGTGGTACTGCATGTTGGGTCCAGAGTACGGACCGGGTCCATTGGGACCGGCTCCACCTGAGCCTGGCATGGGGCCCCCGGGTCCCCCAGGACCACTCATCACATTGCCACCAGGAACACCGTACTGCTGGGGCATCCCTGAGAACGCCTGCTACAGAAGAGCAGGAACCGGACCGTTGACCCAACAGAACCACAAACATGGAGGCATCGAGTCATCGGGTTTTCATCTCACCTCAGAGTTATAGGGCCGTTTGAGGCCCTGTGGGGGCCTCATGTGTCCCTGCTGCGACCCAGGGCCGTAGCTTGGATGCTGAGGGACTCTTTGCTGGACCCCTCCAGGCCCGTACATAGAACCCATGGGGGGAGGGCCTCTGGTGGGGGCGGGGCCCTGACCCATACCTCCGGGGGCCATGCCAGGACCACGAGGCCCCGAGAGCCCCATGAACTGGTTGTTGTAGCCTTGGCCGCCCATCTGAAACACAGCAATCTAAATCAGACTGATTACGGTACCGACCCGCGTCCGTTTACGGATCGGAACCCGTTTGGTTCCAGGAACCAAAAAAAACACAGAAAGTCCCGTCATCAGGCCAGCAGAGGGCGCTCCAGGCCTGCTCACCTGACCAAAGTTCATCTCCTGGTTCTGTTTCTCCTGGATGGCGGCTACGGTCGCCGTGGCGGTGGCGGTTGCCGTGGCGGCGGCGGCTGCAGCCACAGCAGCGGCGGCTGCAGCCTGGGTGAACTCAGCGGAACCCCTGGGCCCGGCCGGGTTCTGTGGGTAACTGAGAACAGATGGACGGAATGAGCAGAACATCAGACTGAGTGGACCTCTGACCTGGAGCAGGGACCCACCTGCCTGTGTAGGCCCCGGGGCCCCCGGCGTAGCTCCCGCTCGCCCGGCCGTACATCCCCTGGTTCATGTAGCCCTTTCCGGGTTCTCCGTAGCCTTGCTGCCCCATGTAGCCGCCGTGGCCTCCAGACATGCCCGGGCCCCCATGGCCCTGCATCATGGGGCCCCCACCGGGGTTGGCCCCATGCCCCATCCCTCCTCCACCCAGACCCTGAAAGAGACAGAGACACGTCCAAACCTGACCCCCACCCTGGAAAAGAGTTTCAGAGTGGGGATGATGTCATACCTGGCTGGCAGAGGGGTTGGTGACGCCCCACACCGTGGTGACCACCGACAGCGAGCTGGTGGGCTGGTTGGTGGGCTGCTGCCAGCTGGACGGGTCGTACGGGTAGGAGCCGTCACTGTGGACAGAGTGGGAGGTCAGAGACACCAGGACCACATGCCGCTCTGCTCCTGGGTTATTTTTCTACACGAACCCAGGAATTTAATAAACCTGAACCTGATCCAGAACCGTTCTGAGTCTTCTGGTGGGACCGGACCGGACCTGAGCAGAACTCTGAGAAAGCAAACAGGAAGTAGGAGCTGACTGCTGTACCTGTGGGGGTTGCTGCCCAGTCCGCTCTTCATTTGGTTCAGAGGGTTCATGGTAGATGGAACCGGGGGTCCGACCGCACAGACAGAACCCTGGCAGACACAGAAACACGCCCCAGTTAAACTACATTTCCCATCAGCCCCTCTGGCCCGCACACAGTGATCAGAAACAGTTTCTGGAACAAAAACATTTTAGTCTCAGAGCTTCTCTGAACCAAAGACTAGAACTGATCCTGGTTTGATCCGGAACGAGTCGCCTTAATTTTAGGGAACAGTTCTCCTGACCTGTTTTTCAAAATGGTCCCAGACTGGGAGCAGACCGACCTTCCTGACCTGTAATAGCTCCAACATTCTGGGCTGGGGAACCATTTAATAAATTTCACTTATTGTTAGGGATGCAGGATTTTGGGATTTTGGCCGATATCCGATATGCCGATACTTTAAAACTCATGTAGCCGATAACCGATATCGATACCGATGTTAAAGCTGGACAAAAATAAGTAGTCATTGAAAATAGCAGTTTTGTTATCCATTTCTGACACTTTGAAAAATAATAAACTCAAATATATTTTCATATGCTGATATCAAATTGATTTTTAAAAACGCGGTATCGATCTATTTTACTTTCAAAATCTGGTGAAATTTCATCGTTCTGTTACAAACTCTCGTGATATTTTGCAAATTCTTGTGAGATTTTGTTAGTAAAATAGATCGATACCGCGTCAATATATCAACATATAAAAATATGGCAACATTTGGTGAATTTTCGGGGGATTTCGTAGCATAACGATGACATATAGCAATATTTCATTAGTAAAAGAGATTGATATGGTGTTTTTAAATGGCAATATATCAGCATAGGAAGATATTGGGATATTTTAATGGATCAATATTTTTTCCCTCGTCTTTAGAAGTTTTTAAGTCTGTAAAAAAGAAGTTTTTGAGGAAGAAGAAGAAGTAGTTTTTATATTTATTTTGAATATTATGTCCGATATTCAGTTTTAAGGCCGATACCGATAGAGGGCCCATTATATCGTGCATCCCTACTTATTGTTAGTCAGTGGATCTGACGCAGTCACTGGTCCACCCACATCCACACCGCTACTGGTCAACAGGATCATACTGGAACTAACTGGTTGATGTGGGTTCAGCTGGTCAGTGAAACCTTCACTAGAGATGGACCAGTTTATCTGAGAAGATGCTGGAGACTATAATGACATGTTGTCATGGCGACCAATGTTGCTGAAGGCTTCAGACAGAGCAGCTTCTGTGAGCTTTGCACATCAGACATGAGCGCAGCAGAGACTTTGGGACGATCCTGCCCTCCTTCTGAGGGGTCTCAGTGCTTTTGTTGGGAAATTGTTTTGCTGATCCAGCTCTTCCAGGAGTCGCAGCGGTCTGGATCGACAGTTCTTCTGGTTTCAGGTCTCTCTGCTCTCCTCTTCCTGGGTGATAAAGGCTGATGAGGTTTTTTCAGGACCTTGGAGAGAGATGAAGATTTTCCAGAACTGGCTCTGATTGCTTATAGAGAACTGTCACGGTTCAGTTCCTGCTGAGAGGCTGGGCTCAGCTGACCATCAGTCAGCTGAGAGACAGCAGCCCTCTGCCTCACACGGACAGCACCAACACGCCTCATTAGAACCCAGCTCTGGTTCCTGCTCTCCATCACTGCTTCACAGGAGGTTCTGGGAAGGTCCAGAGAGCATGGAGGGCTGTCTGAGCTCAGGGTCAGCTGATCCACGCGATGACTGGGACACTGAGCTTCACACCACTGAATAAACTGAAAAGTTTCTGCTGCAAACCAGAGGTTCTGACCCCAGGCTGAGGTTCTGACCCCAGGATGAGGCTCTGACCCCAGGCTGAGGTTCTGACCCCAAGATGAGGTTCTGACCCCAAGATGAGGTTCTGACCCCAGGCTGAGGTCCAGGCTGAGGTTCTGACCCCAAGATGAGGTTCTGACCCCAGACTGAGGTCCAGGCTGAGGTTCTGACCTGAATCTGAGGTCCAGGCTGAGGTTCTGACCCCAGGCTGAGGTTCTGACCCCAGGCTGAGGTTCTGACCCCAAGATGAGGTTCTGACCCCAGGCTGAGGTCCAGGCTGAGGTTCTGACCCCAAGATGAGGTTCTGACCCAAGACTGAGGTCCAGGCTGAGGTTCTGACCTGAATCTGAGGTCCAGGCTGAGGTTCTGACCCCAGGCTGAGGTTCTGACCTGAATCTGAGGTCCAGGCTGAGGTTCTGACCC